ATTTTCGATGTTTTTCAGACTTCATGTGCGATTTCAACGCACTTTCACCCATGCTTGAAACGTCAATTGCCTTTTGACAAAGCACACACAGCGCTTTCCTGTGATCGCCTTTGCATGCTTTCACCCAGTTTTTGTAAGCTTCGTTGTCTTCCCACGCTCGATTAAACACGCACTTCGTAGGCCTGCTCATTGCTACACGTTTCTCCAATATTTTTGTTAACCTAAATTCCCCGGATGTATGTTCCGAATATACATGCGATACTCGATGAAAATAGATGAAGCTATCCGAAAGTGCCCGGTGCAACTACAACTAAATGCCCTCTGACAAATGTTCCGGTCTCATTCGACTGCTATTTTAGCGCTACGTCATTTTTATTTTGTTTACAACAACGACTTGTCAATATTTTCGGGAAATGTGATTTATATTTTTATTCTATGACTCTTTCAATGAAATTTAAGCTAGGTTTTTACAAATTCAAGCACAAAATTAAGGAATTCAAGCACTTTTCAAGGGAATTTAGTCTTTTTATGAAATTCAAGCACTTTTCATCCCAGGGATCAAATTTCAAGCACTTTTCATTTCTGTGCGAACCATGTAGGATGTTTCGGCACAGCGAAACACACGGCCCAATTTGGGACGAATTGACTAGAACGTATCGGTAAACAAATGTGGGACAAATTGCGATTAATCTAAGAAAACATCAATTCTCCTTAATTATAATTAACATACAGAATAATCTTAAACATATTATGGCTTACTGTTATATCAGTGTCAGCTTACAATAAGCGATTTTAGAAGCCTTTAACAGCCGTTGTTAAAACCATGTGCTTGCCGCTTCATCAAAAACAAGGGGGATGACTCTCGTCAAAACTAATGTCAGGTGTCAACACACCAAATTTCACCGGGGTTCCGGTACACTCCCCGTCTAATGTCTTTGACATTACATATTTCAAACAACCAAGTAATTACAGAAAAAGAGGTTAATTCCTAAATACATGTACAAAATCCGACCGTAAAGTCTGTAAACAAGATCAACAGTTTGTGGTGGCTATTCCACAAGAAGCACCATCTCGGTGATAGGCCTCGTGTATGTAGAAGACTTCCCATTCTTGTACACGCGTACTTCAGCTTTGCGTACCTTGTTGTCCGACTCACTTGGTAGGGTATTAATCACCGCACCCATTGGCCACTCGCTACGAGCCAGACATTTGTCCATTAGTAGTACAACGTCACCATTTTTGATGCACGGAAGTTCGGTCTGCCATTTCCGTCGCGCCTGAAGAGATTGCATGTAGCCTAGCTGCCACCGCTTCCAGAACATATCTGCAAGCACCAGAACCATTTTCCACTGTTTTTTAAACATATCCTTTTCACAGAGATTGGCACCGACTGGAGGACTACATTGCACATTCAATAGCATAGCTGGGGTAAGGATCACGGGATCCTCTGGATCGTTAGAAATCAGCGACAATGGCCTCGAATTCATGATGGCGGTTACCTCTGCCATAAGAGTCACCAACACTTCATGTGTCAAATCCTTTGATTTCAAGTTAAGTAGCATAGCGTCGAAGATGTTCCTTGCAATCCTAATCATCCTCTCCCAAACCCCTCCCATGTGGGAAGCATGGGGGGCATTGAACCTCCAGGTAATTCCGCTGTCTCGCAGACAAGTACGAACCGGACCGTCCTCAACATTGATGATGTCAAGTTTCAATTCTTCTGCAGCTCCAACAAAGTTGGTTCCCCTGTCAGATCTAATCTCTTTGACGTTACCGTGAAGTGCAATAAGCCGACGAAGAGCGTTGATAAAGGAAGAGCTCGACATTTCTTCAACGATCTCTATATGGACCGCACGAGTCGTAAGGCAGGTGAACATGATGGCCCAACGCTTAGACTGAGCACTGCCTCCCCTCGTTCTTCTGGATATGACTTGCCAAGGTCCAAATGTGTCGATTCCGACGGATGTAAATGGTGGACCTGGTGTCAGACGGTCTGGGGGTAGATCTGCCATTATTTGCTGTTGCCTGGTTCCTCGTAACTTGCGACAGGTGACACACTTGTGAATTACGCTAGACACCAGCTTCTTTGCCCCAATCACCCAATATCCGCCCTTACGTAGAGCACCTTCTGTAAATACCCTGCCTTGGTGGTTAATGCTTTCATGGAAGTGTCGTACCAACAAATCCGCAATATGAGCTCTCCTTGGTATGATGATAGGATGTGCTTCTTTGAATGGCAAACAACCTCGATCCAACCGTCCTCCTGGGACCAGTGAGCCATTTTTCTTTCACTTCCTCTGCAGTCATCAAACCTCTCGTGCCACAATCTGCAGGATTGTTTTGAGAGGCAATATAGAACCACTGCTCGCTGGTGGAGGCATCCAGAATCCTCTGTACTCGATTGCTCACATACTGGTAAAATCTTTTCTTTTTGTTGTTAAGGTATCCCAATACCACCTTGCTGTCGGTGTAGAACTTTGTGGACTTCAGGTCTACACTTAGTTCCTTCTCAACCATCTTTGCTATTTCAGTTCCAAGCAAGGCAGCACACAACTCCAACCTTGGTATTGTGTGGCCATGTGTGGGGGCCACCTTTGCCTTTCCTAGAACAAATCCCATATGTTGGTTAGCTTGTTGGTCCAATGTTCTCAGATAAGCCACGGCACACACGGCTTGTTCAGAAGCGTCACAGAAGACATGAAGCTCGGTTCCATGTCCTCTACTTAAGGAGACTGGGACAATCATGCGTGGGATCAATAGTTCACGAAGCATGGCGATAGACATTTCAAAGGCGTTCCATTTCACAACGGCGTCCTCCGGAAGAGAATCATCCCATCCATATCCCTTCGTCAAATCTCGCATCAAGACCTTTCCACGGATTGTGATAGGGGCAGCAAAACCTAGTGGATCGTAGATGCTGTTAAGCATGGATAGAATGCCTCGTCGAGTGCACGCTGTGGTCTTGGTATTGGTGTCAAACGTGAAGTTGTCCGTGTTCAAGTCCCAGAGGAGACCCAAACTCTTGTGGGTGGGGAGATTATCCTTGTCCAGCTGCAGGTTTTTCATCTCTTTGCCGAGATCTTGAGCAGGAAAGGAACTCATTACCTTGGGGCTGTTGGAAATGAACTTGTGAAGTCGCAAATTTCCTTTCTCTTTCAGTGTATTCTGAGTTCTTTTCAGGAGACTGATGACACTTTCTTCGGAATCAGAAGAGACTAATCCGTCATCGACGTAAAAGTTCTGATTGACAAAGGCTTTAACGTCCTGATCAATGCCGTCACCCTCAACACTTTTCCTCAGACCATATACTGCTACAGCCGGTGATGGGCTGTTCCCAAAGACATTGGCTTTCATACGAAACTCGATAAGGTCCTGAGTGGGATCGTTGTTTCTGTACCAGAAGAAGCGTAAAAGGTTTCGATGTCCTTCATTCACGTGGAATGAGTAGAACATCTGTTCTATGTCGGCAGCGGCAGCAAATTCGTTCTCCCTGAATCGTAGTAGTAGGCCAATCAAGTTGTTTGTAAGGTTTGGGCCAGGTAGCAATTGATCGTTAAGGGAGGTCCCTTGGAATGTCGCGGACGAATCAAATACTCCTCGAATTTGGTTAGGTTTCTGTGCATTGTAGACACCAAAAATTGGCAAATACCACACTTCCCCTTCAGATGTAGGTGCAACTTCTGCTGCGCTTGATGAGATAACCTTATCCATAAAGGTGACGAAATGTTGTTTCTTGACGGGGTTGTCATTTAAACTCTTTTGGAGCGCCTTGGCTCTCTGTAAAGCCATGCTCCTGTTGTTTGGCATAATCTTCCTTGGGAGGCGAAAAGGCAGTGGTGCCGACCAAAAGCCTTGCTTATCTTTGAAAAACTCCCTGTTCATCACCTCAATAAAAAGTCTGTCCTCTACAGACCACCCTGGTTTGTCATCCTCCTTAGTTCTCTCGAACAGCTTGTCCTTGACATCATCCTCCCGTAGAGACAAGTTGTACTGACACGGTTCAAATATGGAATCGTGTCCCTTCACTGTGTAAGTCTTATTCACATTGAGGGCGAGATTAGGTGTGTGCACCTTGTTCAGGCAAACTTCTCCAATAATCACCCATCCTAGACCTATCTTCTGAGCAAATGGCGATCCCTTTGGACCTATCCGCTGATCTAGAACATGATGAATGTCCACGGCATCTCTCCCCAAAAGCAAGTGTATGCCAGATGTGGTGTCAAGGGGTGGTATTTGATCTGAAATATCCTTGAGATGCGGGTGCATCGCTGCTGTCTCTGGGATGGGAATCTCACTCGGGTTGGCCGGAATCTCTGAACATTCTATCAGAGTAGGCAGTTCATATGTTGTTTCGCCATCCATGCTTGTTGCGGCCAAACCTTTCACTCTGCGCCCTGTTGTCTTAACTGTACCTGCGCACGATGACAATGTGTATTGGATTCTTTCCGCCTCCGTTAAATCCTTGAAGTTGTCGAGAAGTTCTGGTGAGGCTAAGGACCGATTGCTTTGGTCATCTATGAGTGCATAAAGTTGCATTGTTCTGTTAGAGTTGTCCTTAAGATGGACATTTACTTTCACAATTTTGGCACAAGATTTACTTGCTCCGTGTGCACCACAGAGTTGCGCACAGTTGCAGGTGACATCTGTGTCCTCCCCGCCGTCAGGAACAGTAGGACTACAATCTGACTTTGCCACAGATACAGCGTCTGGCTGCTTGACCACCTCTAGCTTAGGTGTCGTTCTGTTTGCTGACTTCTCTGACTTATGAATGTGAAGAGCTGTCACATGCTTCCGACTCTTACACTCGGCACATTTAACCTCAGTTTTACAGTCTTTAATCAGATGCTTGTCACTTGCGCAACATCTAAAGCATATCCTGTTGTCCTTGAGAATTTGTCTTTTCTCATCAATGGATCTTTTGGCGAATTCTTTGCAGGTATCCAAGCAATGAGTGTTTGAATGTGGGTGCAGGGGACACCTTTTGTCACTAGGTTGTTCAGACGAGGGTTGATCGACGATAGTCTTTCTTGTGCGGATTTGTTTGACCACGGTGTCTTCCTTTGCTTTTCTCGATTCTATCGGGTCCGAGTGGAAACTAAAACGGGTCGTTCAGCATTGCTGTCTGTTCTCTGATGAACTGAACAAAAAATATGAATGGAGGAAATGTAGCGCCATGTTCAAGCTTGTACTTCGCCGCCTTTGACATCCACCGGTTCTGGAGGTAATAAGTAATCTTGCTGACAATCTGGTTTACTCCAAGAGAAGTGTCGTAGGTAGCCAAAAGAGGCATATACTCTGGCGTTTCTTTCAGGGAAGCCACTTCAAGTAACAAGTCGAGGAGGTCGTATAACCTCTTGTTGTCTTTGTTCGTGAGCTTGGGAAAACTTGTTATCTTCTTCCTCAATGCTGATTCCACCAGCTCTGGTGTGCCATAGCGTGCGTCCAGTCTGTCCCATATGCGATGTAGTCCACAAACAGGGTTGTAGGCATTAGCTGAACGGAGACTCAATGCCTGCTTTGAGGACTTGGGTCCAAGCCATTTGACTAACAGATCGATTTCTTCCAACGGGTTCACTCCTAATTCTTCGGTTATGTTCCAAACTGTGTAGGTAACCGGATCATCTTGAAATCTTGTGAACCTTGTCATGAGTAAATCCTTTTTTACAAGGAAGCGTCCAAATTCTGTACTCAATATCAATCTTACGTTCAGCGATGGCAGGTGGGGGTGAACGTGAACGGTATTTAATAGGAAATCAGTACATGTATCCTGTTTATAATGAACTCGGAAAACCCCAAAATATCAACACACAATTTTTCCAACTGAACTCAATCAGGAATTCTGTAGTCGATCCAACCAATATTCGACTAAGTTGATTAATTGGAACACCACTAAATTTTAACTAAATATGCCTTTGTTACGGGGGGGGGGGGGGGGGGGGGGGGAGAATGTAGACAATGGCGAGTGAATTTATTTCCGGGCGAGTTCATATATAAATCATCTCGCCCGTTTTGGCGAGTGCGAAATAAAAACTCATAATCCTCCAATTACCGTTATGCCGGATTTAAATGTCTAAATTAGATCAGGTGTGAACAGAATACGCATCCGACATGGTGTTTTCGTAACTGTAAACAAGTGTTCCGCTTTTTTAATGTCCTAAATTCATAACAACCGATGAATCGTGGTACGTTTTCAAAGTACTCACGTCGATTATAGTGATTGAACATTGATATTGCTAACGATACTTGTAAATCCCAATGGATAAATGCTTCCGCTATATGATCCAACTAAAAAATCTGATATAATTATATGCGTTGCACATAATCATAATAGTTCTTAATTCCAACGTAGTCAAAATCTCGCTTCGAAACGTCCGCCATTTCTGTTTACAACACCGCGCATACGCAGATGAGCAGCAAAAGTTAGTCCAGAGGCCAGCAAAGGGGCAGTTAATGGTTCTGTTTGTTACAGAGAAAGCACAAAAGTGCTCTTATTAATATTTATTATTGGATAATGTTTTTTTCTTTCTCCTGGGACAGCTTCATAATCACACAGAAGCCTATAAAAACTAAAATAAAGGCATTAAATAATGTATTCCAGTTAATTTGGTGTTTTTGTTATATTTTTCAATTTAAATTTGGTCGAGTACAAATTCCATTTGGGCGAGTTGGTTTGTCAAGTTACTCGCCCAGTTTGGCGAGTGACCCAAATTTTTAAGCTCTAACACCGACTTATTATGGAGTTGCTCTAACACTGACTTATTATGGAGTTCTAATTTGTCATCTATTAAACTACATACCATTTGAACTTCCTGATGCCAATGGTCGATTATCATTAGCTGCCAGTGCTAGGTTTTCTCCTTCCCGGAGCATTTAAAGGATGCTGTCACTGGCAATCTGTCTCAACCCATCGTCATCATCTAGCTGGCACCCATCCGGCAGCACAATCTTGATAGGGCCTAGACCTTCTCCGACTTCAAACTTTTGTTTCACTGCAAAAAGTATGCTTATAATATAAAATGTCTAACATTCAAAGCGACTATTTTCATATTTTGCACTCTTTTTTCTTGTCTGATATGAAACCTGGCAAACAACATTAATGGGCTGAATGTTTTATTTATCATATTTTAATTAATGGGCAAATTGCATAATGTTGATCTTTTAATTTTGCTTATTATCAAAACATTGTTATCTTTTATACATTTTTCGGAAACTAATTATTGCAATGGTACGGTGGTATAAAGCTGCCATCGATTTGTTGAGATCATTTATCTCGTCATGTCGACTTGTACAAACTTGTCATGTCAACATGTGATAATCAAGTCGATATGACGAGATAAATTATTGAATTTGTAACATGTCCACATAATTTTTCTCATCATGTCAATATAATACGCACTTTTGTGACACTACATTTTGTATTGGCAATACAGCTTTTGCTTACTCAACAAGTCGACATGACATGTTCCATTATCGCAACAAGTCAACATATTTAGTCCCTTTAAGCTACCAAGAGAGTTTTATGATTAAAGTATCAATATTCAATAATGTGTGTATTACAGAGCCTCATCTATAAGATTTATTTTTTGCAGGACTGGAACATAAAACAAGAGCAATTTTCTTCATGATACTGATCGAGGCCAAACAAAAAATAGTTGTTTCACCCCAACCAAACTTATTATTTACATCCGACATTAAAACATTTTTGTACACTGGGATCGGTCTAGTTACCGGAAAAACAAACGTTTTTTCTTTTGACCTAAGCTGCAAATAGTCAAATGCAAAAGTCAACCTAGCCTCAAAAGCATCTGACTTTCCAACCAGACTTTTGACTATATCATTTATAAACAGTTTTATACTTTAATTTGTTTATAAATATTATTTTTATAAAGAATAGTTATATAACAAAACCAACAAAAACTTAAATAAATCAAGTGATAAAAAAATCAGTCTTACATCGTAAGTAGGATCAAAATGTTCTTTTTTCAATTACTCAGACATTGTGAAATAATTCTGAAGTTTATTCGACCGAACACCAAAGATTGCATATAATTCCATTTTTGTCTTTGTAAACTTCCTGGTATTTTCACCGGACCATATACATATATATACATCTTGCACCGCATATTATTTAAAGCTATGCATGATACCTACAAAAAGCACAGATTTGGTGGACAAAAGGTGCATGTATAAAAAGGCGAAAGATACCTTTCATGATGAGATCGTCAAAATGGTCCACAACCACTAACTTTCCAGTGGTGGCATTGCAATTTCATATTTTTAACGCTTTGCCTTTGATGTTGGACATTTTCAGATCTGCAACAAAATCAATGATATTAATTAAATATGAGTAGATAGGAGAAGAGCTCTATATATATGGCCCTCTAACATACCAAAATGCTATTAATAAGATGTGGTATTAAAGGGACTAGAAAGATGGTTTGCGCGCTTTTTTGTTTGCAATATCATGGTAAAAACAGTGTTATACGATTTAAAACGATACATAATGGATCCAGGCTTTAAGCCTTTATGTCCATATCAATTATCATTTACAGTGCAAAACTATACGTTAACTTTCTGATATATGACCTTGGGTACATCTGTCGATCATGCTGTATTTTTCTAACTGGACCATCAGAAACTTTCTTTATCAATTATATATAAACAGTTTGTTTATAATATACCGCCATTGCTACCGAAAACTTATCCCAAATGCACCACCTGACATCTCAATACATAGCGTTCCAGACTTCAATTCAAGGGGTCTGGGGTTCGACACCCGGCGGGACCACTTATGTTTTGTGTAGATAAAATGAAATAGAATTAAATATTTCTGTGTATACGCGAGATCCATCTGTTCACCTCCGGTAACAAAATTTATTGACGTACAATATAACTACTCAGTCGCTTTTATAGGGGTTCTGGGAGAGTTAGCCAGAAGACTTGTCCTGAAGTTATTCTTAGAATAAATCTACCCGTCCACCCGGGTCCTTATTTATAGATCTCTGAACGCTATGTGTTTGTTGGTCTTTGTCAGCTTTAAACAGGTTTTTTTTATCAAGAAAATCATCAATATTTTATAGATCTGTGTATGGTAAAGTAGGGATTCAAAGCATTAAATGTAATATTTGAATGCAATACAGATTTTTGTTATTATGGATGACGCTGATTTGGCTTTGTGTGCTATCATCCCCTACAAAATTATCTCTTGGTGGGGAGGGGGGGATGTAACAATAGAACTGTCATATGATGTCAAATATTTTTTCTTGGTGAACATAAAAGTATGTAGCCGGATACACCCTTCAAGGATCAGAGCCGCAGGTGGCCGGGTTAACTGCGCAAACGGATTTTTCTTTCGTCATGAACTATATATTGCTGTCTTATCGTCTGGAAACATCTAAAATATCATCCAGTGCACTGCATTGGAAAATTAAATGCAACATCATATTAAAACGCAAATAAACACAGTTTTCTGTATTTTTTCCATAACATAGAGCGAGTAATGATGTTTGACCTTTTACTAAAATTTAAAAGTTAGTGTGTCATATGTGCCAGAATAACAAAAGTGAAAAAATGAATTTTTGAATGGAAGTGATGAACACATTAAATCAGGCAGTCTAATGTACGGTACCTGCGTGATTACCTTCTTTGTTCGACCGTACTGGGTTGTAATGATTACTTAGGCTGATTTTCCTATCTCACAAAGACTGAGATTCTGTAAAGGGAGGTTATTATAATATAGGACCGTATTTTGACACCATACTAATATTTTTGATGCTGATTTGCTAGTTCATATTGTGGCATTTGTATTTATAACGATATGCAAGTTCATGTGTTGGATCATGATCACTCTATGTTAAACTGTTGACACATGCAGTTACCCCCCCCCCAATTCCCGTTATCTAAGTCCGTGCCCACCATCCAATGGACTTGTGAAGTTGTGGTAGCAATACACTGTAAAATCCCTCTTTGATTAATAAACTCTGTACATAATAGTAGCCTACTGTAATATCCATATCTTCGATTTCCCATATTTTACCAAGTAACTCACCAGTATCGGTCACCAGTCAGCATCAGTCCCCCTTCGCGGTCCTCGTGCACAAGCCTCGTTTTGGTAAGTCGGCAATATCTATAGGATGTCGGCATAAATAAGTCGTAAGTGGCAAGTCGATGTCACACCCGAGCATTAACACGATAAAAAGCCGAGTTACCAACTTACGAGATAATTATCTCGGCAAAATTATCTCAGCAAATGTGATAATATGTCGACATAATTTGAAAGTTATGTCGACATCTTCTCAGATTATGTCGACATACGTAACTCGTAAGTCGCAAGTAGATGGCAGAAATATGCCACCATAGGATGGTTCTGTAACTTGATTTATTGTTTTCTCTTTGGCGGTTTGGGCAGTGCTGGGTGGCTTCATAGCAAAATCAAGCTTTTTCTGCACAACTGTCAGTTCCGTTCCTCTGTCAACTGTTACTACAGTCTTGCCTTTAATTGGGGCGAGTTTGGGATTAGTCAGTTTCACAGACGATTTCATGGTGCAGGCTGTTTGAAAAGTTTCTGGTCTGAACGACACAAAACGCATGCAGGAATCTTTGCTTGTTTGCATCATCCTGTCAAAATAAAAGGTTAATGATGTCCGC